ATGCCATCACTTTGGCATACCCACTATTACCAGCTTGTACATTCGTGAGCTTGAGCAAGAAATCTGGCGTGGCTAACGTTAGCATCGCCACGATCAGGAACCTACATGATACGCGGGCCACGGGCTGACAGCAAGTGTAGCAAAATGGTGAGTAGCAAAATGGTGGGTGACACTTAAACTTGCACGGCATCAAGACACCATGGCCTTCCAGTATCTTCTGTGCTTTACACATCGGTCTGGCCAGAAAACACCATTGTTCTATTTCCTCATAGAGGTGAAAGCCGCCATCCAATTGAAAGTGGTGAGATGGCTTGCATCCCTTGGGTTCCAAGCACGAATCCAGGCAATAGGTTCAGTTTACAGAAAGCCCGCTTGAATTTCTTGTTTTTCAGCTTTGCTTTGAAGATTCCTATAGCAAGCCTCTCGAAGTCAGGTATGTCCTTATGAAGCCCCATTAAGGCACATGTACCTTTGTACAGTACTTGTAAAGCCATCCGAACCCTTCCCTGGAGAGGGGGGTTTGCTTATGACCTGGTTGGTAGTTGCAGTTACAGCCACTCTGTTGGTGCTGAAGTCTATCAACCATAGTAGGCAAGGTTGGTATACAGCTTAGCAGTAACTCAGCTCTGGCAAGCATGGTCATGTGCCCTAGGGTATAGCTACAGTTGTCCCTAACTCGGAAGCCTAAAATCCAAAACCGGAAGGCCTAAACCCCAAATCCCGCACCGTAAAATAAAAAAAACTCTGATACCCGAGTCCAAACGCCCAAAGCACTGAACCCCGAAACACTCAACTCCTACGCGAAACCCGCAGGCCGGAACCTTAAGCGCAGGTCCAGGTAGCCCCTGCGGTAGCCAGCACCGCTCCGGGAAATGATGTGGAGATTGAGGCGGTGCGGGATATTCCCTTGCGCAGGTTTAGAGTTTAGGCTTTAGGCTCCAGGTTCTGGGAAGGGGAGTTTACAGATTCAGGGCGTAGGGGTGATTTATCGGTTGAGGGATTTAACGCTCAGGATTGCGGACGCCTTCCGCTGCATGCCTCTATGGTGTTTATGGGGAAGTTGCTGATTGTACATCCTGGGGTGTCTTTGTCGGGGGAGCCATATGCACCTACAAAGGGAGTACGTGGAAACTGTGGCAGGGGTCTGGGGCTCTTCTTCCTGGGGTTAGCAGGGAACAAGGGTATACATTGTCTAGGCATTGCATAGGAATCATATCACCTTATTCGCTGCTAACCACCAGCAGGTTGACGTGTGACCTGGTAGGACGATGTAGTCCAGACTGTACGGGACATGTTCGAAGCTCACCCAGGTAGTTTTATTGGCAGTGGATCAATATGATGGGATGCTACACACCCCCCCCCCTTTACTCCGCCTCCCCCACATAAGGCTTGAACACGCGCTCATTAGGCTTGACGTGGGGTCCATATTTTTTTTTGGGGGGGGGTGTAGTACAGGGTCCCATAGTGACAAGGACGCTTCCCCAACTTGCCAAGAACAGCGGATGCTCGCAGTTCATGTCAGTGATGCTGAAGACGACTATGAGAGTGGTCATCATGCTACATCAGTGGAGATCACAACCCTCATTATTTAGAAGGGACAGGGGCTTTCAGAAACAAGGTTTGGCGTAAGCAAAGTGTTATGAATCGTAAGGTGTTGTAAGCAAATGTGTGGCAAAGTTGTTGCTGTAAGCAACGTAAGCTGCAGTTTTTGTTGGTGTTCTTGTTTTTTGTCAAAATTGAACCAGTCCATGCAGTTGCAGCAAGCATGCACAAGCGGCGTAGGCAGAAAAAGCAACAAAGTCATGTCGTCAGCAAAAGCTTGGACAACGTAAGCTACCGTAGGCATTCTCGCCTCCGAAATACAATAGGAGCAGGGTTTCGGGCAGCGCTGATCTTCAAGGAAGAGCATTAAATCAGAGTGAACGCAAACATCACAGCTGAATGATGATCATGACGATGGCGATGCTAGTTTCGATTTTGCTGAGCGGCGCGTACCAGTATACTACTTAAAGACTCTCCTCACTGGGAGCTTCGCCCTACTCTGCTCCCAGGCAACGTGGCACCCCTAAAAGGGGGCAAACATGGACCGCTGACTAGTGTCCTTGAAAACGTAGGGCAAATGTTCCATATCAGTTGGGAGAGGAGATTTCCAGGTGCAACTCGGTCAGCTGAAGGGCCAAGCTGAGATTGCACTGATGGTCGTGGACAAGGCAGGCCACGTGGGGTCTTTCGCAACAAGGGCTCCTTAGGGCCTGAGCGGCCCAAGCTATGTAATGCTATGTATAAGGAATTTAGGAGGGTTCTCTTGTAATTTGTAGGGATTGTATACGGATTAGTTTGAGGAACTCCCATGGGAGGTTATACTTGACAACAGGAATTCTGCAATGCTTTCCAGGACGCTAAGGGTGTTACACTACACCCAGAACGACCTTTCTCGAGAAGGAGTATAGTCAACACCCCAAGCCATAAACCCCCGATCCCTGAACCCTAAAGGCAATGATAGCAGAAAGTTGAAAAGGTCAGTAGAAGCAAGTACTAATAGTAGTAGTAGTCGTCGTCGTGGTGGTGGTGGCGGGGGCGGGGGCGGGGGTGGTGGCGGTGGCCGTGGCGGCGGTGGCGATGGCGGTGGTGGTTAGTAAAGCAGCAGCAGCAGCAGCAGCAGCAGCAGCAGCAGCAGCGGCAGCATCAGGAGCCAGGGGGAGGAGGAGGAGGAGGAGGAGGAGGAGGAGGAGTAGTAGTAGTAGTAGTAGTAGGAGGTAGTAGGTAGTAAGTTATAAGTAGTAAGTAGTATAAGTAGTAGTTGTATAGTAGTTTTTGTAGCAGCAGCTGTAGCAGCAGCTGTAGCAGTAGCATTAGCAGTAGTTGTAGCTAAGTCAGTAGTTATTACACGAACAAGAAAACAGCGTCTTTTCTGGCCAGGCGTGGCTGGATCTACGCCCAGCCAAGCTGAAAGATCCTCTGGAGGCCTACAGCTCTGGAAGCTCATGCTCTACAGGAGTCTTGGGAGTTCATGGGTGGTCTGGAGGGTTTGATGTAGAGATTCCGTCTTGCAATGATTTTTGTTATCTTCTGAAGGTGTTTTTAGAACCGTCTTGCTTTTCATCATTTCTTGTTGGCACACAGGAGGCTACAACAGCTCGGCAACCCGGTATGCCTGCCTGATACACGCTCAGAACATCGTAAACTTGCGAAGTCCCAGGACCCTGCCAATTGTCCAAATACAACGTAGCCTTGGCCAAAATTCCCGTACACCCCATGCGTCGCAAACCAATGTTGGTGTCTGCAAAGTTGAAACCACGGCCCCGATTTTGGATCCTTATCCTCTGTTGGGGTGGACTCTCCAAAGGAGAACTACAACTACTTTTGGGCTACGGGGTCCTGATCTTGCGGGTGGGATGACTAAAAATATTTTACTGGTCATCCAAGGCCTACAAGATTCAGCCGGTGTTGGTGGCCAGACGTTTTCAAAAACAGTGGTAGTGCTCTGGGATTTAGGGATGATGAGGGGCTGAGGGCTTCAGTGGTTTGATTCAGGCGCCATGGTTGTAATTATTACCTTGCAAGTCAGGGTTTAGCGTTTAGGGATATGAGCGCGGTGCACCCCTTACGTAGTCTGGGCCCGCGAAACCACGGCCGGAGAGTGTACCCTGCCCTGAACCCTAAATCTTAAGACCAGGATAGCCTTGATAAGCCCTAAACCCTGCCGCTTAGATCCAAGACACTCACGGTAAACGCTACATACACTATGTATCCCTTTTTCACCCCTTCTGAACCCTTGAAAACCCAGAAGCCTTGAGCCCAAAGCCCCCAAAATCGGAGCAGGCTTTCGAGCCCAGTGAGATCGAAGCTCGTGGCCCGCAGCCAGAAGCCCTGCATCTTTCACCCCAGTGGGTACTGGAGTAGAAAATTCTGTTATTACGGAGGATTATGCAGGGGCCACTGGTGGCATCCCTTCCTCCGCCAGTAAGGTCAGTGCCCGAATATTGAACAACATGTTACCTTCTAGAATTTGATCTTTCCTTCCAGCAACACACGGATTTTTAAGTTTGAGGATGGTGTAGATTTGGGGACCACGTGACGACGGCTTGCGCAAGGGGTATGGGGTTTCTCAGTGCCTGCAACAAATGCGAGATGGTTTGCCCCAACCCCAACTTACGGCTTCATGTAGGGGGAAATGGTTGAAGGGCAAACCTGGTCAGTAGACATTGAAGCCACATGGTAGTCAAAGGATTCCAAGTCTGGGCTGGGGGAACCATCCTCGCCTCAAGAATCGGTATAGAGTGCTGGATGTTCAAGTCCCTGTGTTCGTGGCCTTATGTGGCCTTACAAATCAAAGCCGACAAACACTCCAAAGAGCAAAGGTGGCACCTCGTGAGCTCCCTTGATGGCATTGCCTCTGGAACCGCGTTGCGGAAGGCCCAGCCGCACCTGTGCTGGCAGTGCTCGGATTGCTGATCTGATGGGTACGTTATCGTGAGACTGCCCTAGCTCGTATCCAGTTAGAGTCCAAACAGCTTCAGCGAACCCTGTGATCTCACAGAGGCCAGAAGCGAAGGTTCCTTTGGATTACTTTCCGCAGTTGCCATGATAGAAGCTCCGCTAAACATGAAGGGGTGGTGACATTAGTCGGCAAGATTAGGGAACGGTGATGAAGAATGAGGGACCTTTACACATGCGTGTTACATCCCTTCGGCATCCCGAGAAACAAGGAAACCTGGCAGTCTGAAAGGGGTCACTCGTGAAGCTCGTGCAGACCTCGTTGACTAGTTCTGCTGCTGACCCGTTTGCCTTGCCGCAAGGCGACCGACATTGTCCGGCAACGGCTGGACCAGAACCCCTGGGTACAGCTGGCTGACTTTTGGCGTTTCGATCAGCGTTCATACTGTGACCCGGGCAGTACAAGCCAGTTTTGCATTCATCATGATGAGATGTGGGGCTATTTGTCCGCGTTGTCTTGCAGCTCGCTCGCAGTGTAGCTTGCTGCCACACGCATCTCGCAGATGGGCTTCGTGAGCTGGCCGTTATCCTTGCGCCACGCGGACTGCGGACATGAGAGTGGGCTCAGAACAAGGATAAAGGATGCTAAAGCATCCAAGTCCCTTCTTGGTGTTTATAGCGTCCGTGAAGATCGCATTGTCATGCAATCTGAATTTCAAGGTCCCCCATTCTGGGCGAAAATAGGTACGCTTGAGGGTTGCAGTATCCATCTTAAATTGGTTTGGGGTTTAGAGGTTTCGAAGTATATAAACTAATAGCTGCCAGGGGTGTAAAAGCCGGGATTTGAGAGACAGTTTACAGTTTGGTTATGTTTGGTTTCCTAGAGAGATAGAGTCTTTAATCGACACCTGAGAGTGTGATCTCAGAAGCTTCTGAAGAAGGTCCTAGGGTGGAACTTCTGAAAATAGGTTCTCATGGTCCCCTATTCATTCCTTGCATCCCTACATATTTCTTGGTCCCCAATATGGAGAAACCCCCACAATGTAGGTTGTTCCCAGAATTCTGGCATATTCTGGGCCCCTCTAGGTTCCGAATTATATTATGGCACGCATACTTTAGGGGTACCAAAATAGGACCCTAATTTTGGAAGCTCCCCATGTAACCCTACATGACCCCTATATAACCCCTATATAATCCCTATATAACCCCTATATAACCCTATATTATAACCCCGATATAACCCTATATAACTCCCAATCTTCATCAAAGTCCCCATGCCGGAGGATGAGTCGGAGCTGGATTCGGAGGATTATCTGGATCAATGGGGCCAGGCAAGTCGTGGCCTGTCAGTTTTGGAAGGAGTTGACTAGTATTACTATTATTATGAGTGTTCTTCTTATTCATACTGTTATCGCTAGTATTACTCTTATGATGATTATTACTATGTTAACTAGTGCTACTATTACCATTGTGAATGTAAGGCTTCAGGATTTGGGTTTTGGGGCTTCATGTTTGGCTGGACGAGCTTTTCTCGCAACTACGGGGCCTTCAGTGGGATCCTCTTACCAGGACTTGAACCACCTTGGGTGTTTTCGACGCTGTAGACATCACGTGCAGGCTCAGCGTCGGCTGATGGAGCATGTTGGTCGGTCCTTGTTCTTCCCCAGGTTGAATACTCTGCCTCTAAAAAAAATTATTACCCCCAAGGGGCCCGGAAATCAAAGTGCCAATCTCGAAGCGGGCTATGTGGGGTTCCGGGTTCCGTGCTAGTTTAGTTTGTTCGGATAATAGCCAATCTACTTGGAGGTTCAGGGTAATTACAGCCCAATTGTATTACCTGAGTGACAACTCAAATTGTCACGGCGCGCTTAGGGCTTATAGCTGGATTCACCACACACTGATACGTAGCTTACATGTATCTTGCAAGCATCCCAGCATAATCCTATATACTCGTCTCTGGACCCCCCAGCAACCCTTTTCATCCCTATAACCTCTACTCAATCCCTACACAGGCCCTATGATCCTTATAATCCCTATATGCTAGCTTCCCAAAACAGGGGGACCCCAACTACGTTGGGGAGACCCCCAGCTACCCGACCCTCGAATTGAGTGTGCCTCCGAGGAGCTCACAGAGTTCCCAAGTTCTCGCCTGGCCGGGGTCTTTGCGGACGCAGGATGACTTGGGGCTAAACATAAGGACCCCTGAAATAATACTCATCCTCAATACCTTACGAAGTACACCCTCTGATTTCTTGAAAGTGCCCATGCAGAAACAGCCTTGGAGGACTGTATAAACCTTCACCACAAACCTGCCTGAAGCGGTCCGGATACACCTACACTGCCAGTGCTCATTGTGACCGGCCTTCCGTACAAAACTTGTTCAAGTCAATTAGAAAGGTCAGCCATCACAAGTCCTCACTTAGAGGTTCAAGGCAGTGACGACCAACATTTCTTTGTACCCCAACCCAGTTTTCAACAGCCTCAGCCCCCGAATCTGGTTGCATGTCTGTTGCGGCTACAGTCATGATTGGATCCCAGTTGCTCTGAACCTCCAAGCAGTGGAATCCCAATGTCCTATCCTCAGCTCAGAAGCCTCGCATGAGCTGCTCTCGCAGATGGAAAGGTTGAGTTCTCTCAGTTTGGCGCCAGAAACCGGGGAGGCCCCATGCTGATGATGGCTACAGCCCAAGTCAGTTCAAGAATTGCAAGCTATGGGTCAATGATTTGTTGCGTCCTCCGGGATCCAGAAGGAATTGATGAGATGTGGGAGCATCAAGTTGTGGCTTGCCCCAAAAAAAGGGAACCTGAAATGGACCCACTTCAGTATGGTTCGAATTGTTGGAGCTGCGCCAGGAGGGACTCCTAATTGTTCAAGCCAATAAAGCCCTGTATGTCCCCATATAGCAACTTAAAGCGGTTAAACTTTGGAACCCCCGAGTGTTTCACTAGTTGGCTTGCTTTGGAGGCCTGATTAGCCTCAGGATCAAGACACACTACGGGCGGTATTGTAGGGGATAGACATGGCGCTAATGTAATTTTGTACCGTATGTGTGTGCATGTATGGAGCCCATGCATGGGTTATGGTAGCTGTTTTGTGCTTTTGCCATAGCCCTTTCCTCGCAGTACTCCTGCATCTACCTTTACACGCGCTATCATGCGCTCTTTGTGCATCTTCTGCTTCGCTACATGAGCCACGGACTGAAGTTCCGTTTGTCTATGTTTAACGTTGGTCAGAAGTCCTGGACATCATACGTTCAGCTTGTGCAGCGAGATGGTTCCCCGTAGACACATGGACAACGAGATCAGAGCTTCTGTATTTCGATCGCATTAGGTTTTGTCAGTTTTGGAGCGGTGTATTGAGGAAAAGATGTCAGTCCATCATGAGGCTCATGTGAGATTCTCAAATCCAAGCCTAGTAGAACGAGATGGTTCCCTCCCACATGTTCCGGAGTATGGCAGGACAAGTATGGCTTGGGACTTTTGACCATGGGCCAAACAAGAATTGTTGACCGCTACTCACATGGCTTCTGAGTTGTCTGAAACCATAATGCAGTGGAGAAGAGGGGTAAAATGGGTGTATGGACCAGGGTGCCTGAAAAAAGGATATAAAGGTAGAAGAAAGAGAGAAAGAGAGCGAGAGGGCAGCGAAGCCCGGAGGGGGGAGAAATCCCGCCTCCATAGCCTGAACGAAAGAAAGAAAGAAAGCGAGAGAGAGAGACTCTGACCCAGCGGCCAGTTCCGTTGCCCGCATGACAGAAAGACAGAGAGACTCTCCCATCATTCGCCTATGCCAAAGCCAAAGCCAAAGACTCTGACCTGTCCAATGAAGTTCGAGGCCCAATGCATCTTCATTTTGATGCCTACCTGGATCCCCAAGTACCACATTTTTTTTGAATATTACAGTGTGTTTGGACCAGTATTTTACCACCTACTTTGGAGGGTTTAGGTGGGGTCGTCGGAGTGTATTGCCTCATGAGGCCAAAGGGATGGCTGCTCCCATGGCTCTCATGGAGAGTGCCCCGGTGCCGCCAGTTGAGACCTGAGATTTTTTGTGATTAGTAGGGAAGGCACGAATGGAAAGAATACCATACTATTGAGGATTAAATCTGTATATTTCCCACGTTTTTACTGAGTTGATTTGACATTACCGTTTTTTTGTGGAAGCTCTATTCCTCCGCTCCTAGAGGTCCTCTGTGCCTCACAGGTGCATTCGGTCCCTGTCCTCGGGGTTCCCTAGAACAAAGGCGCTGGTCTTCAAAGTGTGCCCTAGAGTCTGGGAAATAGTCTGATTGTACATGACAGCAAGGCCATGTTGAGGGATTGAGCTTGAGATCTGGATCCTGCTCAGACTTCCTGGGGGGTTGGTAGGGAAGATGGGAATATATCACATTATCTTGGGGAGTATATTGTCAGTATATTATGCTTTTACGCCCTACTAACCCCCAGTAGGCAAACGCTTAAGGAGGTTGATAGCGACTAGGCCAAGTAGCTGCAACGAAGTAAATGGGTTGAAGTTTCAGGGGAGATCCCCTACAAGTATGTAAAGGATCCAAAATTGGACCCCACCCCAAAACTTGAGCTCTAGTCTGAACTCCTTGACAGGGGGTGATTTAGGGAAAAGTCTTATCGGGGTTATGAAGTGGGATGCTAGGAGTGTGGTCTATAGCTCACATCACACTTTGGGGAACCTAGGCAATTATCAGACAAGCTCCATGTTAGAGTTTGTTGCGGGGTCTGGGAAAGGTATTGCATAGGCGGTGTGCCCCCTTGAATTCCTTACTATAATCATGTATAATACCACCCTAATATTTTAGGTACTCCACAATAGGCCACAATTTTGACAACCCGCCATTTGAGTCCTCTCAGCGTTCCCGCTAATCTAGACCTGACCCCAGAACCCTGAGAGGATCCAAAAACTGGAACGTTCCAATAATCCCCTAGGTAGCTTCCCGATGTAGTCATGGGGTCATTTTGAGGGGGTCCATTTTCGGATGCTTTTAGGCTTCTAGGAACCCTAAACCCCAAACCTAACGTGAACTTGGCTGGCTCAGGGCGCCCACGCAATGGTTGCGGAAGCCAGCATGGACATGGAAGCGGATTCCGCCGCTCCCCAGGCATGGAGCAGTTGGAGGGTTACGTTCATGACATGAAATATGGGATTTGAACCAGGGTAATGGGACCAGAGTTTAGAGATTCGGGATACTAGGGTTTAGGGATTAGGCTTTAGGGATTCGGGATGGTAGTGTTTAGGGATTAGGCTTTTGGCGTGTATGGAGTATACGGTTTAGAGTAGGGTTCGTATTGTTGCTTTGGTGCAGCTCAGGGTTTCCATAAAATGCAGATCGGGGTGCCACATGTAGAATTTGTTGCACCCCAAAACATTATCAGACCTACCATCCTTATGATGAGGATCCCACAAGAAGGAGACCCCCAATCTGTCATTCTCCAAATTTGAAACACCACACCCAGTGCCCGCAGGCGGGCTCGGGCAATGGGGCTCAAGTGACCCTGAGGAAGCGATTCGTTCAGACCTCAGACTTCAGGCTTATACTGAGTACTACTAGGAGTTTTAGTAGAAGAAGTGGTAGTAGCAGCAGTAGTAGTAGCAGCAACAAGAACAGCAACAACAAAAACAACAACAGCAGTAATAGTCAAGGTAATCATGGTAATAACATTGGTAAGCGTCATAGTACGCAGAAAAACAACAATATGGGTAATAACAACAATGGTAATAGTAGTTTTTTTAGGATGTAGGGATTGGGGCTGGAAGTTTTCTTGGATTGTTTAAAGGGTGTTACTAAGGAAGGAACAGAATATGGGTGCTATTATATTGGGGTTTCCCAAAAAAACAGGTGTACCTTTTTTAGGGGTCCCATAATAAGGATTGCAGTATTTGGGGTTCTATTGGGGTTCGCATTAGTGGAAACTACTAGATCATTTCCTGTACGTAGCGTTTAGGATGATTATTGGGAGTGGGGGAAGGGGTAGCCAATATGTGTTTCCCTATAATAACATCAACTCGTTACTTCATTCCTTAGGTGGACCCCCCACCCAGTAATAGTGACTATAAGGGATAATAAGGATTTTTTCGGGTCCTCTTATATTCTTGTTATATATTCTATTACAGGGTGGGGGGTCCTCCTAACTCATTCCTTACTAGCCACAAGTAAGCAGGGATGAAGTGTTTGATTTTGCAGAGATCTGTTGCGATGGCATCTGTGGCTTTTTCATGTGAGGTGCGATTAAGTTCTTGTGCATTCCCATTGATGTAGCAACTTGTACAGGGTGTACGAGCATCGTGCCTTTTTGACTTGCCTTTGTGTTGTGAGATTTATGCGGACCCCCCACCCAGTAATAGTGACTATAAGGGATAATAGGGATTATATTAGGGTCCTCTCATATTCTTATATACCACTATTACAGGGTGGGGGGTCCTAATGAAATTTCTTTTCCATGCTCCCAATATAACCCCTGCATACTACAGCGGCTTCCATTTTCTTTTCCATTATCCCGAGATAACCCCAATGTATCCCCAATATATACCCCTATAATGCTATAGTAGTTTCCATTGTATTTTCCATTATCCCGAGATAACCCCAATGTATCCCCAATATATACCCCTATAATACTATAGTAGTTTCCCTTGTGTCTGCGCCACAGTTGCTGAAGCTTCGCCAAGGCCAAGCTGGTAGCCCTGAACCGGGCGCTGCTTGTCCGATTCTTACATCCTGCAGAGTGACAAACTACAGTTTCCCTTAAGTAGATAGAATATGGCTTTGGGTAAAATATAATAAGATCCCCATATACCCCATATTCTATCTACTTAAGTGGGATTATAAATCACTTTAGGTGCAAGCATCAGCTGCTTCAGCATTCACAGTGCATTCCAAAAAGGAGGCAGCCTTACTTCCAAGCATGGACAAATGAACTTGTCACGTGAACTGCAGTCTAGAAATTCTAGATCAACCTCCATAGCCTCGAAGTTATCATAGGCCCTTAATACTTCTTCCTATGACGGCAAATCATGCAGATCATTGCCTTTTTTTCACGCAGTCTTGGCGCACATGTGAAATATGTGCACATGAGTATATGTAGGCAGGTGAGCATCACTGTCACAGTCTGTGATGACTTGCATCTTCTGCACGAGCATGAGAAACTAAGCTAGCATCATCATTACTGTGATTGTGATTACTTTTGTGGCTATGCTTCATCCTTCTCAACGTTTACTGCGCGCACACAAGACTTCATGCCTTATGAGAATCCCAACCATTGAACCTCAAAGCTCCCAGACTTGAACTTCCAAACTTCAAGCCTGGGCCATACCTCCTAAAGATGTGCTACAGGGACATCCCTGAAGCCCCGTCGAATCGAAAAGAACATGGAACATGAAATGGACACCCGTCGAATCGAAAAGAACATGGAACATGAAATGGACACTGGGGTTGTGTAGGGGTTTCTACTGTTCAGGGCTATTTCGAGGCTCAGGGGATTTAGTAAGTGGATTACCGGTGGGGGCTTGTTCGGAGGCCAAGTCCAACTAGTCCAACTAGAGGACTTATAGCCCCAGCACAACCTACTTCCTAAGCCCGACTAACCCTCCATGTACATGCTCCCATAAACTCCTATATACCACCTAGATGCCCCTATATACCCCTATGTATGCCCCCCACATCCAGCCTTAGGAACCGGGCCTCAACTCCTGGAAGACTCATGTTCGGCCCTGGGCTCAAGATGAGAGATTTTGGCTGTAGGCTTTAGGGTTAATGGTTTGGGTTTAGGGCTTGGGGCGCGGGGCTAAGGGTCTAGGGTTTAGCGCTAGGATCCTTAGGACAACTATAAAGCCGTCTGCAAGCTGCATATCCCAGAAATTCTCAAGAGTGCCCGCGTTTTGAGTAACTCCAGATGAGTCTGTCCGGGAACATAGAGGTACTTAGCTCTCAGAGTGTGACTCCCGCTGAGCACCCCAAGGAGTATAGCCCCGTTGGTATGCATGCTTACCCAAGAAATCAATGTATATTTTAGCAATTGTCAACAGCAGGGCATCAAAGAGATCGGACCTAGCATGCATCCTCAGAGGATGTATGGCTGGCAAATCTTAAAACCTAAAAGGGGCACCGGCTAGATAATTGTATGCCCACCGTAGGTGATTGCGAGCAAGGCCCAACGACCCTGTAAGACGAGCAAGCCCTAAACCTGAAATCCACATGACAGGTCTAAGAGGTTGCAAGGAATTCCATAGCTAGGGGCCTCCCAAATCAATCCCAACATGCCCTAGCCGTCACAGTTGCTTGCAGTGGCTCATGTATCATGTAGAAGCCTGAATAATTTCAAGAACTATTCCCGCATGATCCCTATATGCTTGATACTAGAATATCCCAGAATCCTTTTCACGTTCCCTAGTCTTGTTAATTAGGCCCCTGTGTTGCACTAACCAGGCTGCCGGGTCCATAAATCAACGCGCATGTCTGTCTGCTGGTGCTGAAGGGGGAGTGGGGGCGTGAATTTAGGTACCATTATAGGGGTATATATGAGGATGATATAGAGATATGATAAGGGTCCACTCCCCCTCTCTCCTTTAAGCACCAGTAAGTCCGAGGCTGCCACAGGACCTCTCCACTTACGTGATCCGCGTTGTTGCCGTGTCCCATGAGGCAGGAATACGGTATACACTTACATGAAGGTGGAGCTCTCATGCTGTCAGGAAGGCGAACCCTCCACACAATGTCATCGTATCTTTATCCCAATTTTAATCCGAAATTGTGACGTGCGAAACATGTGTTCCACAGTTCCGAGGCACTAGTAGAAGATATGCTTTATCCCTGAATGCTCTCAAATGCGGACACTCCCCCCAATGCAGGGTTCCCCTACATGGCGAGAAAGGGAATTCGGAACTATTCGAATGCTGGCAAATCCCATGCAGACGCCTTCGGAACAGGACAGCGGCGGCTGGTCTTGGGGATCTGCCGAGTCTTCTGTGCAGACTTCGCAGCCAGTGCCGCAGCCCTGGAAGTAAAGATCTGGAGGTTTCACCAAATCGGGGGTCTTTTTGGGGGCGCCTACATTGATATTTCTAATGTATTTATGTATAGAGCCTCTATATCCCCTATATTAAGCCCTGATCTCTGGAATCAGAGGTACGGAAAGCCACTGCTGCCGCGAGTGCTCTCGGCAGATTTGAGCGAGTCTCCCAAGTTGAGGTCATTTCGGAGGGCAGCTTTCCTTGAGGATCCTGCAACTCTGGAGTACGCATGTCATTGAGTCGTGGGAAGGGGAACAGGCGCCCAGGCCTGTTCAGGGCAGAAGCACCCTGAAGATGGAAGCTTTTTGCGATTCACACTGGACTTCAACCCTACCCTCAGCTCTCAATGCCCTTCCCCTTACTTCCAAACCTTTCCTCTAGACTCTAAGCCCCATAAACCCTAGACCACTACATGGCCAGATTCTTCGTTTCTTGGATGTCTGCCGCATGGGCGTGGCAATCCAGGCTCCTGCTCTCGCGGTTCCTTGAGTTTCCCCATTTGCATTTAATTGTCCGTTTGATTCTCCATTTGATGCCCCATCATAGGGGTAATTGATATGCCGAAGCCCATAACCCTAAACCCTAAATTGTAGTTCCCTTTAATTTTTCCATCAATTATTATTGCTATATAACCTCTACATAGGGCTTTTGGGGGTAATATCCCTAGACCCCGCTCTAGCACCTAAGCCCTAAACCAAGGGCCTACTGAACTAGAAGAGCGGAGAAGCCAGCGGAAAGTAACGTGGGAAATAATGTGGAAACTGGGGTTGTGTAGTTGTCAAGGTGTAAGGGTTTATGGGATAATGGGTTTAGGGTGTGTTTCAGGTTTTGGGATCAAAGCCCCTATGCGCTCACGTCCTTCCACTTCACATGTATTTCTCTTGCGCGAAGCTTAGTCACGGTTCTTATCTACAATCCGCTCTGCAGTTTTTCCTTCAGATGCTGTTTGCTTCACGAAGTACTGCATATGCAACTGCTTGGAACATATTTTCAGTGCAGCTCCAAGTACGATGCTAATTTTAATCCGGATGCCAGACAGTGTTACTGTGGGACTCGTCAGGGAGGGAGGGATTGCATCTACAGAAGTTGTGATGCCAACCAACCGGGAGGGTTATGGTTCCATGATGTTGGTTTCTACCCCCCAGATCCCAAAAGGGTCCATGTAGGTATATGGGTTGTTCTAAAAAATGTGGGTTTTTTTGGTTACAGACTATATTACGGCACCTAATATTTTGAGTTGCCAAAATAAATGGGATCCTAATTGTGGTACCCATATAGTATAGGGTTTTAGGGTTTAGGGTTTCATGATCCTTGGCAGCCTTGTCCTCAAATGGGGCAAAGCCGCATATGCAGCTGAAGTGTTGAAGTGTTTTGTTGAACTACTACGTCATAGCAGAGCTAGAGCCCCGTGTAAACGCATATAACCCCTGTATAGACCATGTTAATTTAGCATCTATACTTAAGCCCGCTCACTAGGCGGTGAACGGCGAAGCTCCTCGACCTCTTGTCGTGGAAGCCGTCAATGTGCAAAACCTTCGCGTCTTAGATGAGGCCAGAGCCAGGGGAGATTTTGAAGATGATCCCTCAAGAGTTGGTGCTTAAGCCTCCTAGAGTCCTGTTCTAATGCCTTTGTATCCCTGCAATCTTTTAGGATCTTTGAGGGCCCATTGAGGGTGTCCCACTGTTGAAAACTTCCCCTTCGGATGTGCATCCAATTACCGGGGCTTGTAGTTATTGCTGCGACGTTTTAGCAAAGCCTCTCAGGATCACGTAGTTTAAGTTCCCTGCATTGCAGCCTTTGGGGATCAGTTTGGTTGAGCCACCGCAGGATAGATCGTGAAGCCGGGTTTGCTTCCATGAGATTGCACGTTGCGTGATGCAAGCCGCTTTTATTTCACTCAGGCGTTTGCAGGCAACAGATAGTTTCGCCCTAAAGCACAAGCCTTGCTGCTGGTGAGAACTGCGCTGGACATGGATTTTTCTCGTAGCGGGCCCTGTAGAATCTCTCACAGCCATGGTACAGGCCCCATAGACTACAACAATACTCAGCATTTGGGGAGGGAGCTACGATGATTCCACGCGCTGCTTCCGCACGCTTACTGGTTCTTAGTAGGGAACAAGGGAATACAATCCCTCCATAGTGCCTACACAATTTCACCCCTATATTATCCCTATATAACCCCTGTTTAATCCCTATATACTCCTTAGACAGTATTTTCCCATATTCCCTACTGAGAATCACTACGAAAGGCAGAGCAAGCCATCACCATGACCTCTACCTCCACGGAGGCACCATCAGCCAAACTCGCTGGCAGTGAGTGGGGCAAGGAATGAAATGGAACATAGCTTTAAGATGCTTTAAGTCACCATAATAGGTTTAGGGTTCAGGGTTTAGGGTTTAGGAAGTAAACTTGAGCTGTATCATCTTCTACAATTTGTTGTTCGGGATTCCATGCGGACCACGGATGCATTCCGCCGTGTCCTACGAACCACCGCAGGTGAGATGGTTTTAGGGTTTAGAATTCAGTGTTTAGGGTTCAGGTGATCCATCAGCAAGGAGGAATCCACGGAGCCCAATGTCCCCTCAAAACAAAACATACCAGAAGACTACTGCAAGTAGGGGCACTACAGTGACTACAGCACGAAAGTTCTTGATGTGATTTGTGGAATGCCAAATAATAGCAGCAATAACAATAGCAATGATAGTAAAAACCGGAATAATACCAGTAACAGTAACAGTAATAGTAATAGTAAGAGTAATAGTAATAGTAATGCTGGAATTTCTGGGCTCTTGAGGTTCCTTGGACTTGAAGACAGGTCCGCTTCACCTTTGCTTCGGACGTAGCTGTCGGCCCGGCGTACATTGTGTTCAATATCAAGGCACCGGCTCCTATGTAGGCATGGTCGGTATATCAAGATCCTGGCTGCCATTCAGGCGCTCGGGATAGGACTTAGGAGAGGTTGGGATTTAGCGTAAACATGAAACTACTATGGTTTTTGGGCTTTCGGCTTCAGGGTTTAGGGCAGGGTTGCCCTTTGAGGATTTCGCCAAACAGGGGATCAAGGTAAATGCCTTCTGCCGGGCCAACCGCCAAGCCAGGGTGCCCTTATCTTGGGGCCTGCCGTTCTGGAGGTTATAGATTTTGTGATTTACAGAGACATCATTTGATGGTTTTTGGGGGGACCCTAACCTTATTCCTGATACATTTTCCGTTACATATCCCCTATGTTCCCCAGTGCTCTGCATGTTATACCCTATACACCACATTACATGGGTCTCCATTGAGATGCATTCCTAAAGCTCCTAGACTCGGATGGCTCGTGGATCCGATACAGTATAGAGCCCAATTTACTTACCATTGAGCTATAGGGGTGCTGTTGACGCCCTCTCAAGAGGATCAAGGCTTTGCCGATTTAGTACAGAATTCTAGGCACGGTGGGTGGGACAGAAGGCGCTCCACGTTCAGGATTAATCATGTATGAAATACGGCCCTGTGCTTAGCTTCCTGGACACATCGAGTCTTCAGGATGGTGTCTTCCTGGTAATTTTCGCGCCGCTTTAGTAGGTTGCCGAAGGACCCCCTCTACCTGGGCAGGATGCTGAGACGAAGGCTGTGCTGGACTCCGTGGCAGCGAATGTGAACGTGGAGGTGCAACAGCAGGCAGGTGGGGAATGCTTGAAGCTTGGAGCCAGGTTTTCTGCAATTGAAAGTGCCGGATTTTGCCGTGTAGTGCTCGGCACATCACGTGAGATTCTACTCTGGCATGCGAGCTCTCCCGGCTCAGGGCTTGCGCATGGCCTCCACAACAAGCATCAGGGCCAACGCTTCGCAGGCCAGCAGTCATCCGCCTTATTGTCCTTACGTGGGACGCAGGGGAGGGAAAGAAGGTACCCTGCATCTTAAGATTTGGCTCCAAGGTAGGGCTGTCAGCAGTTGACCAACACGACCGACCACTGGACAACTGACAGAGTATGCACTCAGGGAAATAGTGGGGTGGTTGTCAAGGAATTTCCTGAATTTGTCACGTTCTCGTCTGGTCTTTAGCTAATCCATACGCAATAAGACCCTAAACCCTAAACAAACATCCTTCCCGGCTCGCTTGTGTGATAAGTCACAAGCTCAGCATGTGTCGCAGGCCTCTGTGCGCAAGGAGGCCATTGCACCTCTGAATGCCCGGGCCGTAGACATAAAGGTCAAGCATGCATGCGTGCCAGACTAACGTTACAACACCCAGAAAAGCTACTGAATGCAGGATCTGGGCTTGGTTTTTGTCCGGATGCTGGGCATCCAGTTCCCAACAACCTGGCGAAGCTATCAGTTATTAGATTGAACAGTTGCTGTCTTCGGTTGTGTTGCGCGATGTTGCGCGCATCGTTGGTCACTGAGGCTGTTCCCGGGTCCGGTGAGATGTCGTTTTCCGCATCTGTTGGCTTTCAGGCCCGGATAAAACTTGCACACTTTGGGCTGGATGGCTATGTCATCGGTTATGTGCCTAGAAAAGTACCATACCCACACCCCAAAAAGGGTTACAACATTTCCTGAAAAAGGGACCGCCACCGTTTGTTCAGACTACGAGAAGCAGCATCCTTCGTCCTACAGGGTGCCGCCTTGCCCTGGGCCACATATGAAGTACCATTACCATATGAGCCATCATCTAAACTCCTTGAAGGGTGATTTTATAGGGGAATACTATAGGAGTTTAGATTGTAGCTCATATCAACCGTACTGTTATATAAAAAAGTAACCATTTTTTTGATTAAAGTTGAGAATGGCATCCTACCAGGCACATAAACTGCTGCCAGGCACCTCTTCTTCAGGCCATATTGGAGGCCAGCTGGCCACCAGTGATGGTTTAGGGTTTAGGGGGTTCTTAGAACCCTCAAGATATGTGGTGTGGGGATTGCAAAGAGAGAGAGGGGAGTCCGCATTCATAAGTCTCTAGACTGACGTTGAGGATAGAAACAGGCATTTCTCAGCAACTAGGTTCTCGTTTTCCATATGGGTGGTTATCAAAATTATGGTCCCTTTTTGGATCCCTATTATAATACGGCCCCTAATATTTAGGGTACCCAAAAGGGGCCATAATTTTGACAACCACCCATATGTATTTCTTATGCCTCCGGCCCCTTTGAGGAATTTTGGGACTTGGCTGAACATGTAATATTCAGAACGGACGGTCTTCAACGATTCGAGGCCTACCCTGCAAGGTTCTACTCCGGGTCACTCTTCCGGCAAATTGGACAGTCAAAGGATTACCAATGTAAATTATGCAAACATGATCACCTGTCAAATGACCTTCAAAATCAGGTTATGTATCCTTTGCCATAATTTACCTCGACAGGGTTTTTGAGGAGACCAAATCGACGTTCTGTATCCTGCCTACACATTACATAAATTTCAATCATCAGGATTTCCATACAGATCGCCAGGAAGGTACAGAGTGTATAAGGTGCAGGCAAGACATTCACCTTCCGTCCTTGAAACTCAGAGTACCCTCGGCAGTTGGCACCGCGGTCCTACGACAATTGGCAACCGCTGGGCGAAGACCTGCTGGTGGTCAGCTGAGTTCAGGCTGCTGAGGGGTAAAGGACTTGAGGCATTGAACTGGAAGAGAGGAGGATGTAGAGCGTAGGAGTCCGGTGCTTGAGGTTTATAAGGTTCAGGGTTGGGGTTGAGGGATTCGTGCCTTGCTCGTAATTTCCTCGCAAATGCAGGCCCCCCCTCTTGGCAGCGCTGAGGCGTTGCTGCTCGGCGGTCTGATTTTGCACGTCGGCTATGGCCTTGAGGCAAGCAATCAAACATGAACTCCGTGGGGCTGACCGGACATGACAGGTTCTCTGGTGAGCGTCTTACTACATCCGAGCCTTTTCTCTTGAAAATGCTTGGTAGAAAAAGGGAACCGGAAGGAAACTGTCCAGATAAATTGACTGCCAGCGGTGCAGTGAAGGTCTCGAAGCTCACGCAGGTGCCAGTTGCAAGGAAGCGTATCATAACATTACTATGCAACATCCTATAAGCATCCCATAAACTGGCCTTAGTGGATCCTTATAGTAGCCCCCGTATAGCCCATTGTAGTAGTTTCCATGTTCTTTTCCATTCCTTCATTCCCAGCCAACCAAAGGCCAGTAATATCTGGGGTCCCACTTTAAAGGGACCTAGGGATTTCATTTAATTTTCCATTTGCTTTTCCATTTGATTCCCCATTATTAAGGGTAGCCTAAGATTTGGGGTGCATCCTTCAAGCCCATCATCTTCAGAAACGTGCATTCTGTATGACAGGCGTCCCACGAAGGCCTAGCCAAAGCTATCTCTGCTGCAGAGGAGAGGCTGCATGGGCAGGCCGCCTAGGGCCCAAGGGTTTGAGGTTTGGGGTGGCTTCGGCTATGATGCATTGATGGCTGCAGGGCGTTTCACTGTGGTAAAGCAGGGTTCAAGCGACAGCAAACAGAAAGCGAGCCCCATAAAGATGAAGCTTTGCAACTCCTGCTTCGCCAGGCGCTTTCCAAGCCAACAGCTTCTTTAGCATGAAGCACGCAAGTAGACCAGCATTGCAAGCCTCCGTATGTGTGCACATGATAAAGGACTTCATGAGTCCAGGAAAGGTTCAGGTCTGCCTGTGGCTCACCTCTTTGATTGAATTCAGCTTTGGTACCTGTAACACCAGCTAGGGTGAATCAACCCAAACACGAGTGGGTCCTTACGGCCAATAGCACTTTAAGTCTTTGAACCATAAACCCACAAGTATTACAGACGTCCTTCTCTTGGCCTGAGATCGTTCCGGCGCTGGGCTTCGTGAATGCGCCGCCGGAGCAGCGCAGCTGGCAAGCAGGTGATGGTTGGGCTAAAAAGGATTTAGGGTTTTGACTATAGGTATGGTAAAAGGATTTAATAGGGATTCTATGGGCATCATGTAGGTATTACATAGGTACTATAGAGGTATTATATAGAAGGATCATATAGGTATTACATAGGGCTTATTTAGGGAGTATATAGGTATTATATAGGTAGGGATTCCAGGGTGCAGGAGTGAGGATGGAGCCTGCTTCCCAGGATCATGTGAGCCATGTAATCCAACTCCTCAAAGACGGTTATATAGAGAATTATATAAGGGTTTCCCAAATTAGGGGTACCATTTTGGGGGTCCCAATAATAAGGATTATAGTATTTTGGGGTCTATATTGGGGTCCCCCTATTTTGGGAAGCTCCATGTAGGGGACTAGTGTAGTCCCGCTTAAGTAGATAGAAGATGGGGTAAATGGGGATCTTGTTATAATCTACCCAAAGCCATGTTCTATCTATTTAAGGGGGGACTATATAGGGGTCATTAAGGGGCATACTTGGAGTTTAGACAGTGGCTCATGTGAAAGTATTCCAGTGGGTTTTGCGGTGCAACGCAGGGACTACCCTCTGCCAATCTAAATTAATGAGGCTCCGTCTTGAAGCACAGCAGTCTTTGTAAGGCTCCTTTTCAGGTTCTATGTGGTAGTTTCAGAGAATAGGGGAGCCCCAATATAGACCATAATATACTGTTATCCTTCTTAATGGGAGCTCCAAATGATACCCCCAGTTATGAGGCACAGATGCAGGGTTCTACAGGGACTATTATAGGGATGCATGTCCCCAGTCCAGCAATCCAGCAGGTTTGAAGCTACAGTTCTCTGGTTAGTGGGAGGAGATTTGTTGCTGGGCAGGTCCACAAAGCAGCAAGGGTGAATTTTTGCTAACTGGCCAGGGCTTGAGAAAAAAAAACAAAGCAGGTTGGCTTCAAGGAAAAACTTCGTGACATGCCCAGCTTCGCCCTAGGATAACCTCATGCCAAGCCTTTGAGCCCACCTGTCTCTGCAGTTAGTGTGACAGGAAGGCGGCATGAAGCACCGGATCTGGCCCTCAACAGCATGGCTTTGCTGGCCTTGCGAGCAGCCATGCCGGCACGGTTCAGGTATTGCTCGTACATGAGGGAGGCTGCACTGGGATGTTACTCGGTTATATAGGGATAATGGAAAATCAAATGGAAACTACTATAATGGGGATTATATAGGGGTATATTATATATGGGATATATTGGGATAATGGAAAAGAAAATGGAAACTACTATATTCTGGGCATGAGTTTGCGTTATGAGCAAAGCTATAACCCCAATGGAGTGCTACCGAGCGCTTTCTAAGAACAAGGACCTGGCACAGGGCATCCAAAAGGGCAAAACATGTTATGCTGTATTGATGGATCCTTACTCTTGTTTCTCCTCATGGAGGCAGGTGAGCCTGTTGAGAAAAATGGGTAGAAATCACTCGCTTAGCTTACGCTACAAGTAGGGAGGTCTTCTCGTGATGAACCATTGATGAACCATCTCACAGTGGTGGAGTGCAGAACATTAGATCCTGAGACGACGCGATGTTCCTAGAACCACTGCGCTACAAAGAACTATGTTGTCAAGTCTTGAATCACATTGCAGAGCGTTTCTCAAGAAATCAGGGTCCGCATATGCCCGATTATGCCCGGATGTTATCCTGATCTTAGGAGCTCCCAAAAGCGGCCGCCAGTTTTAGGAAGCCCCGTTCAGAGCTACGGCCGACATGCTTTTCTGACAAGATCGTTCCGCGCAAGTGTTCTCGTTGCGCCAGGCGCAAACTCTCGGCAGTGTGCCGACAAGCTGGGTGGGGCGGCCGAGCTTTCAACGCGAGGGGGTGCCTACTTTGCAGCGGGCTACCATGACTTTTTACTGGCCAAGACTGCTATGTCTCAATCAGAATATCCGTTTCGGAGAGAAAGCCCGATGTGAGATAAGAACCCCAACTTGCACAACGAAGACCCGCGGCGACTCTATCAGGCACCTTTGGATGCAGGAATTCTCCTGCAAGCGGCACTGGAGGCTCGTCCAGACTTTTGCCTCTTTAGGAGGACCAGGCCTTTTGTCAAAAGATGGGCGTGTGAGGCATTATCCAGTCGTCTCCCCTGCAAATCAGCGCCACCCCCTGGATGGCTTTGAATAATGAGAATCTCTGTGAAGACTCAACAAGACGACATTGCCAACGCCGCACTTCATGTAAGACAATACGTTCCCAGAGAGTTGATCTGACAGGGTCCGTTACAGAGGCTTTCCTGCTCAACGCATTCGCGCGCATGAAGTTGTAGGCCGTGCAGAAGCAGCGAGAAGAGTGGACGAGGCACATTACTGTGTCCAGCAGCCAGTGCGTGTGCTGTAAAACGCATGCTCTGGCTGTTGCATTGCCTAGATGACCTCGACACAGATGCCTGGGAGAATCTAGAACGTTTCACGTCATGAGCCCCACGGCTGCATATCACGTTCTAAAGCGGGGCTCAACGTTCTAGACGCCCCCCAGGGGTCTGGAAATGCATGGCAGGTGTTGCCAGGCCGAGATGACATTGGCCAGCAGGGGGCTTGAACATTTCAATCTCATGGACTTCCTCCAAGCACCACCACAATCACCACCGCTGCCGCAGCGACTATTGCTTCACAGTTTCCTCTGGTTGTTGCAAGTATTACTGCTTCTTGATGTAGACAGCTGCACTGATCGGACATGTTTTGTATTGTTTCTCCTTTCAGGTTTCATTGGCCCATCTCAACTGGCCATGTTCTTCCTAGCTCATCCGCCTGCTCAGAGCAGGCTCAGCCCAGAGTGGAAAAGCATATTATCATAGGCTTAAATGGAGTTATGCAAGGCCTGACAAGGACTTCTTACAACGCTTGCTACTGCTTTGGGTGGGATTGTACTTTTTCAATGTTGATAGTTGTTGTGCTTGGTAGTCCGCACTACTGCGTGCCGCAATTCTCCATTCTGTGGGCAATGGATTGCAGTTTCAATAGGTAGGGGCAAGAGTGCTGGAATGGTGGCGGTGGCCGCAGCGGCGGCGGGGGTTGGGGTGGTCGTGATGGGCTGGCGGCAACTGCAGCAATGATGGTCACCGTACCAGCTTTATGAAGAAATAGCCATCGTCAAGCAAACGAGATGCAGCCCTAGTTCAGCAGTGATCCCGCCAGCTTTTGAAGCCTTGTACAGGAATCGGTGTAATGCAGGCAATGATAGCAAAATCCTTGACCCAGAACCCCCAAGACCGAAAATGAGCTGCATCTCATTCAGTGTAGGTCTACCCCGATCCTTCTAATTTTGACACCAACCCAAAGCACTACATGTGTATTGATACATACAAACATGCGGAGATACAGATACGTATTTGCCAGTACACATAGTCAATATTCAGAGGAACGGAGTATCTAGGGCCGGGCAGGGAGACACTGAAGTTAGGCCCAGCTAATTCTTGACATCCCCCCATAGGTATTGCACTAGTCTTTCTTAAGATATCTACCTAAAGCCCAAACACTGTTAAGCCCTCACGTCATCTCAGTTTCCACTGCATTGTCCATGCTCTTTTCCATTAGATTCCCCATCACTGGAGTACCATGCGGGTATTTCCTGAAAGTCATTATCATACGGGTCCCTATAGTTGGGTTCCTATTCTACCGCGGGTCCCTATATGAATTTCCCCCCCTTTTTGGGAACGGTAATCTAGGCCAAGTCCCCGACCCTAAACCCTATGCATCCCTCTTTAAATTCCCTAAACCCCTACAACCCTAAAGCCTTGAAGCACACCGTGGAGCGTGTCCTAAATCTAGGGTTGCCAGGCAGGATCTTCAGCCACTCTGGGAGGCGCCGGCGCGTATCTGCCCAGAGCTGCGAACACCTTCCCAGACCTCCCAATGTACCCCACAGCTGCCTATGTCCTTCGAGGTAGTTTCCTGATCCCAAAATCTACCCGGCACAGGAGC